CGTCTTTGCATGTGTTTTGTGTTTGTCCGCAGCAACTTGCCTGCAACTTTCAACTCGGCATCCACGAAAGCTAGGAAGCTGAAAATTTAGAGGTATGTTCCCTGCCCATGTGTGAAATCGCAAATTTAAATTCACCCTTCTCTTGCCGGCGGCTCAACGTACGACCCCGTGAAATTTTAGCGAGTAAAATTATTATCACGGGGACCAAAGAAGCTGGAAAGCTGGGACTTTGTGAGCATGTTCCTTACCCACGTGCGACTCAGAAAACTTAAATTCAGCTTTCTCGTGCCCGCGAGTAACACGAACAACCCCGTGAAACTTTTAGCAGGCAAATTATTATCTCGGGAGCCACGGAATCTAGGAAGCTGAAATTTTATGGATATGTTGCCTGCCAGCGTACGACCTCTCAAATTTAAATTCAGCCTTCCCGTGCCTGCAAATTTAAATTCAGCTTTCCCGTTGGCGGATAAATTATTACCTCGAGAACCACGAAATCTACGAAGCTGAAATTTTAAAGTAATGACCCCCTGCCTACGTACGACCTCGCAAATTCAAATTCAAGGTTCTCGCCCTCTCAAGTATCACTTATGGCCCGTGAAAATTTTGGCAGATATTATATCAGGAACCACGAAAGTTGGGAATCTGAAATTTTAGAGCGGTATCTCCTGTCAGTCAGCCTACGACCCCTACAAATTTGGATTCTACCTTCTCGCATCCTTGAGTGCCACGTTCGGCTTCGTGAAAGTTTTGACAGGGAAATTGTTTACGAAAACTAGGAGGCTGAAATTTTAGTGTGGCATCCTCTGATACAACTTCGCAAATTTTCAGCGTCCTCGTGGGAGTATTGGCGAAAAAAATCATTATCTTGGGAGCCAGAAGAGATGGAAAGGTGGAAATTTCAGAATATTTCCTGCTTAAGCAGGAGCTTCACAAACTTGAATTCAGTTCCCAAGTATGCCTCTCGTGCGACCACGTGAAAATTTTGTCTCATTCGAGAGTCAGAAAATTAGGAGATTGAAACTTGGATATCCATCCTTCGAGGTTTTAATTTCAATTTTCACTTACCTCTGTGTGAAATTTTCAATCATTTTTGAGCATTTTAACTATTTTTGCACATACCAAAGTGCAAAGCAGTGAAAATCATTAACAGGCAATTGTTCGGTGGACAAAATTGCACAAAACGCATGGTCGCACCGGCTATTTTGGTGCACGCTGCTGTTTATTCCATATGAAGGGGATTGGGGTTATCGCAGTATTTGTCTAATATATTATAAATAGCAGTTGTAGTCTGGTTTCCCCACTCTGCAGCTGGCATATTTTTCAGTTTCTTTGAACAACACTACGATTCCAAGTAGTCAGTGTGCTGGCACTGCTGATTTTTTTTTTTCTGTCTTTGATTTGAATTATCAAAAGCCATGACAACTGTTTAAAATTAAAAGCATATACGAAATTGTTGTTCTCGGGAAAGTTCGTGCTTTTATATGTACCCTCGCCCCTCCTCCTCCCCTTCCTCCCCCTTCCCCTTCCCCCCAGAGAACGTGCGACAGTCTCCTAATGCTTTCTGCTTTCGTAACACAGGTATACACTGACAAGATTGCTTCAGAAGAAGGACGAGGAAGATATGGAGCCAGGCTGTCTCGATGAAGTGGTTTCGTTTTCGGAGCCATCATTGTCTGGTTTATCAGTTCACTCCAAGAATCCGTTTCTTCCAAGTGTTTGCTTCAACACATCCAGTGACTGGGAAGAACTCGTCTCACCCTATCTGTATGTTGCCCTAAAGAATGTCTTTTATTCTTTCTGTGTTTTCCAAACCAAATGGACACTTTCATTTGTGGATTAACATATTTTTATGCGTTTTTTGCAGCTATGCAATGCAGAAATGCGTATTTACGAGAGGTTGTCTGTGTGTGTGTGTCTGTGTGTCTGTGTGCTCGTCTGTACCGATTTTTCGTCTCGAGACCGGCAAAAGCTACAGAGCTGAAGCTTTGGGGACATAATCTACATGCACGTACGGGCCCCCATCCCGAAAATTGGCGCTAAAACCCGCGTGGTACCCGCGTACGGGCCCGCCAAAGTTTT